CCTGACTGGGAGAATGGGCCCTGTTCTTGCACCGGGTCGGGCGCTCTCAGAGGTGGTCGTTGGTCTGGCTGTTGACCTGGGGGGCTCTGGGAGGGCCTGTGGGTCCTGTACAGGCGCAGCTGGCTGAGCCTCTCTCACACTCTTCAGGAGGCCCTGGAGGCGGCGATGGCCAGCGGCCTGTGGGGACACGCCCTGCTCCTGGCCAGCAAAATGGACAACCGGTCGTACACCACCGTGTTGAACAGGTAACTGACCAGCCGGCGCCACACGCGTGTGTTTTGAAGTGCAGTCCTTGTCTTAGAAGCGAGTGTCGGCATTTTGTATCCAGCCAGGACAGGTCCCTACCACGTTCCCTCATTCTGCCAGCACCCCCAGCGGGCGCCTCCTGCTGCTCGGTTTACCACAGGACGTCACTGGCTTGGCCATTGTTGCCATGGTTTCAACTGCTCCACTGTGGTTCGCTGCTCTGCATCATGGGAATGCAGTGGCATGCCTCATCACGCGTTCCTTATGATCCTTCATCCCATTGAAGCCCTGTATAACCAAGACCTGCAGAAATACCGTGGTAAACTTGCAGTAGAGAGGCCTGCACATCAAAAGGGGCCGAGACACTCGTCTACAATAAAGAGTCAACTGCACGTGCAGAATTGCACTGCTTAGGTCTTGCTTTTTTTAATTCTCGAGCTCATAGTTCAGCTGACGAGTGGAATTGATTGTCGGCGCGAACAGCCGGAAGCAGAACACTGTCCAGATGTTCAGCCACAGCAGTGGAGATTATCAGCCCTGGTGCTGTTGTACAGGAGGTCACGCACGGCTGTCAGGTGGTGGGGAGGGGATTCCCAGGGCTGTGCGCTCTGCTGTTGTAAAGTGGTGACCTGACCATGTCTCATCTGTTCGAAGGTCTGTTTTCCCTGTAAACATCATGCAGCCTGTTGCAATTGTGTAGTATCTCATTACCTCCTTCTCCTTCTCATATTGGTGTAATTTAGCCGTTTAGCTGTGAGTGATCTCATCTTTCAAAGGCTTCTGCTCTTCTGACATTTATCACCCTGTTGTTGTGCCCTCTGCCTGCCTGTGCGTGTCAGGTTCACAGGGAGTCTGGCTGTGAACGATCCCCTGCAGACTCTGTTTCAGCTGCTGTCTGGACGGACCCCTGCAGTGTCCACGGTACATATCCCTTCTCCTGGTAACTGCGAGCATGTCCGACCGGCCAGAGCCTGTCTTGTAATGAATGTTTGGACTTCTGTCTTCCACACATGGAACGTGTTGGTAAAATGATTTTCTTAGTCCTTGAAGAGAAGTAGGTGTGTAAGGAAAAAGACCTAAATGTACAATTTGATAGACTTTGTACAGTTTTTTTAGTTTAGCAGATATTCATTCTATAAAGCAAAATGGAAAGCTCTGATCGTATTCATTTCGTTCCTTTTGCACGTAGTAGTTTCGTCAGGTTTGGCGCGTGACTGTTAAAACGCGTGGGGAGACTGGGGGATGCTGGGAGTTGGCTGCTGTGGCTTACGAGTTCTGAGCCACAGACGTTTGCAGGGAGTTGAGCTCCAGGTCTGCAGTCTTCTTCATTTCTCCTCTGTCCCTGTCGTCTTAGTGCTGTGGGAGTGAGCGGTGGGGTGACTGGAGACCCCACCTCGCGGTTATACTCTCCAACCCCCCTGGAGACCCCACACTGCATCGCCAGGCGGTCACTACCATGGGGGACACGCTGGGTAGGAGCCAGAAACCGATTCCTCGGCGTCTTGAGTTTGACAGTTGCTCTACGTGGGACTGCCTCACTGAGCCTTCCACTCAGTTGAACGACGGCCAGAGAAGGGCCTTTAGAGTAAACAAGAGTTAGGGAGATGTTACGATTCACAGAAAGAGAAATACTGCACCACGGTGAAATAGCCCCCCAAGGCAGTTCCCGTAGATCGGTTTAGGAAGGTCTTCTCGGAAGGCATTTTTGGAAGCATGGGTAGTTGCCGTAGCAACCAATCACTGCAAGAAAGGCATCAAAATAAACCTCTGTGTCTTGAAAAACCCACGTGTGAGGCACACGCTGGAGGTGATCCCCGATGTGAAATGAGATAAAACCCCATCCTTGAAAATGTGGCTGGTTGCTCTGCGAGAACAATATTGTTTAATTTGTTGTTCTAAATAAATTAAAATTATTTAATTTTTAAATTTTCTTTTACGGAGAGTGGGACAAGGTCTTTCACCTTTAATCTTCTGTGAGGTGAAAGACCTTAATGTTTTGCAGCAAACCGGGTGGGAGGATTGTGCAGCGTCTAACCGTGAGCAGTCAAAGGGCTTCAGCGATCACACTCTTCACTTTGTGTTCTCCTCCCCCAGCTGCCAGAGGGCTGATTCATGCTGCCCATTTCTGCTACCTCGTGGCCCAAGTTCCCTTTGGGGTCTACACAGCGAAATCGGAGAAACTGGTCCTCCTGGGTAGTAACCACTGGTAAGCCCTGCTGAGCGGAGATCTGTGTCCTATTGCTCTGTCATATGACGGCTCGCAGTGTGGTGCGGTTCGTAATTATGGGGGGCCTCAAGTCTGGGTCTTGTCACTAGCCGGCTGTGACGCAGTGGCGCACGACGGGCTGAGCACTGATGAGGGAGGGGTTAGTCGGCCTGGGCCCCTCGCGACACACGGCGCCACAGCGCCCCCCTGTGGTCTGCCGGGTGATCGCAAGCTTGCGGCGCTGCCGCCGAGGGTCCGGAGATCTCAATCCACCCGCGCTCTCCTGAGCGCCTTCGCCCCCGGGCGGCCCAGGCGCTGTCCTTGCCGGGACGGTCCGGTCAAACCGGGGCCTGTGAACACTGGAGTCTGTGGGAGTCCGGGGGTGAGGTTCATACTCGTCGATGGCGAACGTCGCTAACCGATTTCTCCCTTCAAAACGACCACTCCGCCGTCACGAATCATAACGTGACATCCAAAAGTAACAAAAAAAATTTGAATGACGCGTACCTTGAATCCAGAGACGGAATATACCTGATGGGGCGCGGAGATCGCGCGTGCACCTCGAGTGAAAAACGCGCGCCCAAGCGCCCGGCTGGGTGGAGAGAAGGGAGGGGGGCGTGAGCTGGTGGAGCTGCCGGGGCGCTTTCTGCAAGTTTCGCGGGCCGGAGCCTCGTTCCGGGTTCCCCGCGGTGGGCGGGACTGGTGCGCGCCGTGGAGACCGGGTCCGAGCACGGCCTGCAGAGGCAGAGGGCGTCCTGTACCGTTCTACAGCGGAATCCCCTGCGCTGCCGTCTCAGCCCTGTTTCTGTCTCGATTTGTGGCTTTTGTTTCGGTCTCTGTCGTTTCGGATCTCGGGTTTTTCTCGAACGCTCGACACGGAGCGTGTTCCGGGGGGACGCCGGCAGCCCCTCCCCGATCTGTCTCGCTCGAGGTGCTGGATCCTGGGTACGCAAGCTCCCTCTCTTTTTCACAGCCTGCCCTTCCTGCAGTTCGCCAGGAGCTCAGCCATCCAGAGCACCGAAGTGCTGGAGTACTCCCGGCTGCTGGGCGACCCCTCCGGCTTCATCGCGCCCTTCCAGGTACCCTGCTCGCCTGCGCCGCGGTCTTGTGTACAGTTTAAAGTGTTGTGTGGCTGGTGATGACTGGCCCTTCCTCTCCGCCCTGCACAAGGAACACTTCTGTGAGCATGCACGATCCACTGCTTGTGCCTTCCATCTCCTGTAGCCCACTTTGAAATGCATAGACGCTTGGAAGATGTACATTCGCCTACATTTATTTATTGTCTTCTTGTTGCCGAAAAAAGTAATAAAAAATGCAGACATCTGTCCCAAAACAGAGTAACCAGCAACCAGGTCATATTTTCAAGCTGCCTTACTGGGTAGTAACGGAGACCTGCAGATCTCTCTAGTCCCAGAAGATTGAAATGCTAATTAAATTGTGAATGAACCTCTGTTCTGTCTCGTTTGTCTGTGTTCTCAGGTTTACAAATTTCTTTATGCGTGCCGCCTGCTGGACTGCGGGCTGGCTCCTCAGGCATTCCACTACTGCGAAGTGATAGGGAAGGCACTGCTCAGGCAAGAGACCCTCCATGTTGTGTTAGTGGAAGAAGTCATCAAGGTACCACTGCACGGCCCTGCACCTCACTGCATCACACTGCACCACACTGAATCATGCCACACCTCACTGCA